CCACCACTTCTGGAGCTTCGCCGGGGTGACCTCCAACGTGACCGCCTGGTTCATGAGGTGCCGGACGTCGCCGGCCGTCCAGGGGAGGTTCTGGAAGCCGATCTTGCGCATGCCCTCATAGGCCAAGCAGTGTGCCCGATCACCAAAGAGGTGGCCAAACTCCTCCAGCTCCCTGGCCCCCCTCACCTGGTGCATGTAGGGGATCTGGTGCCGGAAGGGGATGAAGTATCCCAGGAGGCGTTCCAACCACCTGGCCCTCAAGTGTTGTTCCAACGCTCTCTGAGATGTCGGCAATTGGGTTTTGATCTTCCCTGGTTTCCAATGCCGCCACTTGTTGGCCACTGCCAGGACATCCGGGGCCTCAATCGATCCGGAAAGGATCCACTCTTCGCGGTCCCGGATGGCCTGTTCCATTTCCAGTGGAGAATAGGTGTGCGATTGCCTGGCGCCTGCCGCACGAAACAGAAGTTGTTGCAGGGTCTTAGTAGCGAGCTCCAAATCCGCCTCCTCCAGCGGTTGTGGTTGGGAGCCGAGTATCCTCGCGAGGATCAAGTTGTAGGTGTCCGAGGCCACCAGGACGTGGTTGCCGTCAGGTGCCAGCCCCACGATCCGTGTCCACGGCCGCGGGTCAAAGACCACCGCATCCGGGTTGGCGACCTTGTCCTTTTTGACCCATTCCAGGCAGCACGCCACGAGGATTTCCCGTCCGACTGCACTGGTGCAAATCCAAGGTCATGCAAAATCAACTGGAGCGCGGTTGGCGCCCCTAGGAAGGTCGTCCCAAACGGGGAAGGGAGGCGGGGCCTCCACATCATCATGATCCACTCGAGCCGGGGGCCTAGTCCCTAGGTGCAAACCCCAACCAAACAACAGGGGGCCCCCCAAAACCCCGGAAAGTCAACCCCGAAACGGAGGAAACGGGGGAAAAAGGGGGACCCAGGGAGCCGCCCCGAAAAGGGAAAACCAAACAAGAGAGGGGAACCAAGGCGCACCCCGGATCAGCCCAAGCCGCGCCAATTTTCCTCGCCTGGTGCAAGTCTGGGCCTGCGCTGTTCCCTGGGGGGGGATATCAGCGCCTTCGGCAGCTGTCCCCCCCCCCCGGGGTGCGCTGCGCATCCGTTCCGGATGGCCGCGGTCCTGGATGGTGTGCCGGAAGATGGCGTTGTCCCGCATCATCACGCGGCCCCCTTCGCGATGTCATCGATGCGCTTGAGCGCAGCAGCCTCCGGATTCCGCAGAATCAGCTCCCAGATGGCATTGGAGACGTGGCCTGTCTGGGTGGTCTGGCTGAATCTGAACCTGGGCACCTTCTGGTCCACGATGGAGACGTCCCGCAACGGGGCCGAGGGCTCCACCCGGCGGTAGTACTCCAGCCGCTCCTTCACCCAGCGGTTGTAGAGGCCCTCCGGCGGCTCGTCCAACACCAGCTGCAAGATGGCCTTGCCGGCCCGGATCTGGAGGAGGCGGGTGCCCCCTCCCCCGGCACGCCAGTACCCCTTACAATACTTGCACATGTAGCCCCCCCGGGTCTCCCCTTTTGTCTTCGGGATGAGTTCCCACGGGGTGACGGAGCTCAGGACCAGGCCACACTCCATGTGCGCCCAGAAGACATGCTTCATCTCCACCGGATAGTTCTTCTTCCGGTAGTCCTTACCCACCACGCCGTGGACGTTGTCCGCCGTGATGGGGGGGTAAACGATCCCCTCATCGCCCTCGCCTCCCCTGGGGCGGATGTCAGGGCCATCGGCACCTGTCCGGCACCCAGGGGCGGAGGGGTCCAGGCCCATCAGCTTGATCATGTCGTTGGTGTAGCCGAGCTTGCGGTAGATGGAGGGGGCCACTGAGTCGGGGCCACTGCTTCGTGTTGCAGCGCCAGTTGACCTTCACCTCCGCCAGGGCCCCCGGGCCTCCAATGCGGTCCATGAGGGCCTTGTACACCTCTGGGAACTGCTGGAGGCTCTCCACCGGGACCGAGATGCGCTCGTCGCATACTGTCCGCAGGATCATCTGCTCCTTGGAGTCCGCCACGTCCTGGACCGGGAGCTGCATCACCTCCGCCGGGGTGTCCGTGAGGAAGGCCCGGGCCGCAAGGACCTTGCCCATGGCCCGGTAGACCAATCGCCACTCCGGTCCTGTCTGCGGAAACGGAAGGCCCTCCTCCTTCAGGAAGCACCGCGCGTCCTCCTTCAGGGTCTCCCAGCCCTCCAGGCGGGTCTGATTCTGGGCCTTGTTTTTCGGGCTAGGGCCCTGCAGCAGTGGCAGAACTCCCCAGAGCTGGCGCAGGGTGTAGCTGTGCCCGAACATCCCCAGTAGGCCTGGGAGTGTCCAGGACGAGATCTGGCGCGTCCAGTGGAAGTCCTCATCCGGATCGTGGGGGGCAGCCCAAAAGATGGATCGCAGGTCCCCAGGGTAGGGTCGGTCCCCTGCCTTCGCCTGCTGGTGCAACTCATCAACGGAGTACCTGGCCCAGGGGAGTCCACCCACCTGGTGGTTCCTGGGACACCTTGGTGAGGTTTTTCGCCCAATCCGGGACGTGTGCCGGGCCCGGTCGTCGGACCCAGCGGCCCGCAAAGATACGGCCTCTCCGACCCGTTTGCTCATCATCCAGCGCAGGACCGAGAGCTGCACCTCCGGGTCCTTGGTGTCCAGGCCCACCGGGGTGGCGGACGGCTTGTCAGGGCCCTCGGCACCTGAGCTCGTCACGCCAGAGCCCGAGGCTGGGGGGATGGTGGGCGGCCTGTCAGGGCCCTCGGCACCTGGGCGCGCCGCACCAGAGCCCCCCGCCTTTGGCATGCCCTGTCAGGTCCGGCAGATCTGACAGGAGGGCCGCCGGGATCAATGCGACCCGGACCTCACTAGGCCACGCACTGAAGGGAGGCGCGATGGGCTCGAGCATTCTGGTTTCGAGGGAGCCCTTCGCCTGTCTGGCTTGGTGTTTCGCTTTCGCCTCCTCCGCAGTGGTCTGGGCCTGGAGGAGCTCCGGTGTGGGTCTCCCCCAGTCCGCACCCAGCTTGTCCAGCAGCTTCTCACGGAAGAGGTCCAAGTCCAGGTTCTTCAGGAGCAGGCCTCCATCACCTCCTCCGTCAATGGCCCCCCCTTGAAGTTCGTGGAGGACCGCCCGGAGCGCTCCACCGCTTCCACCTGGTCCGCCTTCTTGGCCTCCTCCTGGGCGATGGTGGTGGCGTTGAGCCGGGTCTGAATCTTGAAGGCCTTCACCGCAGACGGGTGGAAGGCTCTGCATTCCTGGCCCTCTTCCTTGTCGCCTGGCAATGGGGGCCTCTCCCCCGGTGGGGCCGTCAGAAACTCCTCGTCCAGCTCCATGGGGCAGTTCCTGATCACCGCCCGGACCGAGGAGGGGACGAAGTCCGAGAAGCTGGCCTGGTCCGGGTTCTCGCAGGCCATCGGGTCGGTGGCCAGCTCGCTGACGTCCACCGAGGCACTGAGCTTGAGGTCGCGGGCCCGGTCCGTGTCAGGGCCTTCGGCACCCGCGGACCGGGCCGCCGTCCAGACCGCATTGCCCTGGTCATCCACCGTCAACTGCCAATGCGTGCCCGCCATCTCCAGGGTGGCCGAGTTGGTCGCCGTGTCAATGGGCTCCGTCTTCTTGCCGCACCCCATGCACTTCGTGGCGCCCTTCTTCACCCAGGGCATGGTGCAGCAGGGGCAGATCCAGGATGTGGGCACCTTGCCCAGGGGGCGGTTCTCCAGGCCCCCGTACCCCAAGCCAGCGCGCTTGCCAACCTGCTGTCCCGGGGTGCTGAGCCGGGCCTCATGCTCGTACTTCATCTTGGCGATGTAGAAGGCCTCCACAACGCGCTCCAGGCCCCCCTGCTTGAGTTGGGGGCCCTCAAAGCCTCGCAGGAGCCGCTGGACGTCCTTGGCCTGCAGTCGGCGGAGCCTAGTGGCCGTGGTCGCATCGAAGCAAGGGAAGTCGCCCGCCATCTGGTCGTCGCTGAACTGGTAGAGGCCCTCCGAGACCTTGAGGGCCTTGGTGAACACGCTCCCCCCCGGCGGGGGGGCTGCGGGGTTCTCATCCTCCTCCGAGGACGCCTGCTCCTTGACCTTCGCCATCAGCTCCCGGCGCCTCTGCCACTTGGCGTCTGCCCGGGCATCCAGGCGGGCCTCCTCCAAGCGGGCTGCAGCCGAGGGGAACCTGGGCATCGGCAGCTCCTTCTCGTCCTTCGCCAGGAGCTCCTCCATGGGCACGTCCTCCTCCGGCGGGTTCAGGAGCTCCAGGAACGCCCCTGGGGGGCGTGTCAGGGCCTTCGGCACCTGCGCCACCCCAGGGGCTGCATCTTCCATCGGCTCATCCTCTGCCTTGCGCTTGGCCGGGATAAGGGGGGCCTGCTCCAGCTCATCTGCGCTGGAGAAGAAACGCTCGTCAGGTGCCTGAGGGACCTCAGCAGCCAAAACGGTCCATCCTTCTTCCTCCCTCTTCACGAGGCTCGCCAGGTACTTTGCCATGGGGCCTTTGCCTTAGCCTTGGCCTCTGCTACCGCGGCACCAGCGTAGGCGGGGGCGTACATGGCTTTGAGAGTAGGGGAAAGAAAGATTTCAAATCACAAGACAAAAGATCAAAAGGTCCACTTGAGCCAAAATGGTGGCCCAAGTGGATACTTATTAAGAGTCAAGACAAGCGACCACCTACGGTTAACGCTTTAGCCCAGAGTGTTCGGATCAGTCTGGTGCCACATTCCATGCCTTTCCCCACGCTGGGTTGCCAGCTCAGTAGAACCTAACTCCGGGATCCCCAAGTAACCTGCATCATGGTGGGCCCTTCTTTATTATCCCCAGGCGTCCTTGCCATAAAATGACTTGGCAACCTGTATGGCTGTGGGTCAAAAATAGGCTAACCCCAAAATGGGTTGCCCTGGTAAAGCGAACCAAAGACTAAAACCAGCGGTCCCCTGGTGGCTAAGTTTTGACCCACACCCGGATGGGGAACCAGACACGCCTTCAATTTTCGAGCGCTTCATGAATGGCCGCGCTGAATTTCTCGCCTGCGCCGTAAAGCTCTGCATATCTCTCGCGAAGGTCTCTGCAGCCCCCAGGAGCCCCGCGTGCCTGGGCGACCCGTTTGTTGGGCTTGGCACGCGGAAGCCTTAGACCTGTTCTTTTTTCAGGACAAGTGGATAGGACTGGTGAATAACCAAACTGAAGCCAAACGAACCCTTAGACAAAACCCTCTCAAATGTGTGGGAATGAAGTTAGGTGGAGGGAGCAATGCTCCAGGAATCACAGGTATGCGTTGCGGGTTCAGAAATGAGGGGGTCAGATACCATTTCTCTAGCCTGAACACTGCGTGTTGGAAGGGCTGGAATGTCCAAACCTTATCTAAGCTCCACGCGAGAGTTGCAGCCGAGCGCTGGCCCATAGCATGCCTCAAGACGCAACCCCATTGGCACAACGCTGCTGGCTGGGAGGTTGTCAAAAATTTGTGGCATCCACTTTATATTGTGGCACCAGGTGGCACCTTTGGGCCAGGGTCCGAAAATAAGTGCCCAATCTTTTGTCACCCCGCCGGCTGCCCTTTCTTCGAGCAACTGACCACCGTCACTGGCCGTTTCAAGCAACATTGATGGCCCTGCTAAAACGAGAGTTGCGCAACCCAAGCCTCTCTTGCAACCCACCACACCACGGGCTACATGGAGGCTTGGCCAATTCGACCCAGTTCTCCGTGGCTGGGGCCCCCACACATGAGGTTTTGTGGACTGAACTCTCTGATCCGCCTGGCAGCCTGCACTGAACATGCGCAACCCGCGAGATCAACATGGCTCACACGCTTAACCATAACTCTGCACCTGGGAGGGGGGGGGGTTGAGTGGGGGTTGAGGGAGGTGTGAGGGGGTGAGAGGGGTGGTGAGGGGGTGAGGGGGTGAGGGTGGGGGTGAGGGGGTGAGGGGGTGAGGGGGTTGAGGGGGTGAGGGGGAGGGGAGAGGGGGTGAGGTTGAGGTGAGGGGGTGAGAGGGGTGAGGGGGTGAGGGGGTGAGGGGTGAGGGGTGAGGGAGGGGCAAGGCGGGCTTCGGCTCCTAAAAAGCCCCCTTTCGGCCCAAGGCCTTTGTGGAATCTCCCCGCAGCTTCGAACCGCAGCCTGGCTGGCTAGGACCGCGAGAAGCCTGCGCTGGGTCGCTGGGTGCCCATGTCATCAGCCGCAGCGCAACTTCGATTTGTCGGACCCCATGTGTGCTTTGTTTGACCTCCACTTTACCTGTTGGTCAATCACTTTCGAGGCCCCAAAAAACCAGGGGTCAAGAAAGCTGACGAAGCTCTTGCCGTCAGTGTGCCCTTTTTCGACAAATCACGGAACAACGGGATGACCTACAGCCACACTAGTAGATCTCTGCAAAAAGATTGCGGGAAGACTACGAGAAGAATGGATGCAGTTTTGGAAGAACAGTAGGTCCCCCCTCTTTGACATTTTGGATGTTAGAGGATGCGCCAATCTCAAATGATGATGTTACGGTTGCTAAACACTGGAATGGTGGAAAGAAGCCTAAAGGACGCTACAGGAAGACCACTAGACTCTGCAACGAATACTGGAGGATTACGACCACGGCAAAGCTGCAACTGTGGCAAGCCCACACACATGAAGGTGGCGCAGAAAACACTCAGCACCGATCCAAAAATATCGGCTCGACCATACTTGCAACCAAACACCTCAACCAGAAGCTACAAGATCACGGGAAGACTACAGGAGACCCAAGACTATGTGGACGCCAAGCAACAAGAACACTGTGGGACTACCGAAAGATGTTTGGGAAGACTGTGGAAAAGAAGACTGAGAATGCTTCAGGGAAAGACAACGGAAGCCTGTGGAGAAACTACAGGAAGACGGGAGAATGGAAAAAGACCGTGGACACACGACAAGACCACGAAAAGATTGAGGAATACACCTGCCTTACTCTTTCTGCAAGAAATTCGTGCGCACTGGGTAAACCAAAACACTTTGAGGCTTGCACGTTCCAAGGACGCCCTGCCTTGCATCACAATGCTCGATTCTGGCAAAGGCCCAGGCGCAGTTTGCCTCGGAAGCGGCTCACGCTCCAGTCCGCCCGCCATTTGGGACACCGATCACATTTCCCCACCCGGAACAGGAATGCATGGGAGTACAGTGCATTGGGCGTCTCCACATTTCAAGATCTCTCCACCCTTGCGCGACTGTTTGGCCTCGACGCAGCTGTAAAGCGCTCAAAACAATCTGTTGGCGGCGAGCCTTTCAGCTTCGCGTGCAAAATACGGCTAGAACATACACTACGACAATATTCGGGCCTGCGGAAAACTGCACCCTTGGCACTGCCGTTTCTCTGTCTGTCACGTAGAGTTGGGTTTTTAGAAGACTTCCGCGTGTCGATCAGCCCAGCTGAGCTACGATGGTTCCAAGAAAATGGCCCAGCAGGGCTACGCCCTTTCGGCGGGATACCTGAATGACACGAGTTGCCACTTCGACCACAGCCACAGCTAGTGGGACTCGTAGAATTGTGTGCTTGCAGCACGCAGAGTGCCATGAATAAAATCATTTTGCCACGGCTTCGTCAGAGCTGCTCTCATCACAAAGTTTTCAGAGCCGGAAACCCTGAAAGGAGACCTGAGAATTTGGCGCGATGGTTCATCCAGCACACAGGTCTCCTTTGGTTGCCTTCTCCTAGATGTCACTGAACACAAAGCAGACGAATGCGCCAAACGGCCGTCTATGAAAGCAGCCCGATTACAGCAGCCAGCCAAAAAGGACAAGCGCTCCGCGCTCCTACCAGGGTGCTAAAAATGTCCGGTCCACTAGTCCGCGGCTGTACAAAGCAATAGCACTTGATGTCCATCCCGGGCTTCACGAGAAGTCCGCCGAACTGCTAAGAACATACTATGCACTGAATCAATATTCTCAGCTGAAGTCTTTTCAACAGCCCCTGCTTCGCCGTGCTCCGTTCGGGACCCCGGTTGGCTTGAGCCTCTGTGGACAAGTTCTCAACTCCACACAGGGACAGGGGGAAGAACCAGACGCCGTCCCAAAGAAAAACAGCGCCACGTCCGAGAGGGGTTTGAAATTCGGAAGCCCTCCCCGCCCCGTTTTAGAAAACCGTCGACGTCGGCAAAGGGAGCCGATCATTTTTCCAACCCCGAGCTAACCGTCGTTTCACCTTGTTCTTTGCCCCTACCATCGCTGGGGGCTCGAAAAATGAAATAAAGACCCCAACGGCTCCCACCCGACGGACCGATGTTAATCGGGACCTACCCGCCTACAATCGGACCACGCGATTCCGGAAGAAACTCAGCGACAGCGCTGTGAGCGGCACCTCAGACGGCTCAGGCGCCCTCACCTGGCCGGCTCGCTCGCTCGCTTACAACTTCGGAGAGGCGGCTCACACATCCCCAGCTGCTTTGGAAAGGCTGCTTTGACCGTACAAAGGGGTTTGTCTCAATGCAGCGGACACAACAAAGTGGTTGGTGTCCTGTTGGTTTCCGAGTAAAACCAATCAAAAGTGGGTACCCTAGAAACCAAATACATCCATATCAGTATGAGTGTGAGTTTTTGGGACGCTTTCCTGGGGATTCACTCTTATCCGATCCGCGGGGGGCCACCCAACGACAGCCTTGTCCGCCGGCTTGCCACTGTCTTCCACATCGGACACCACCTGTGTCTTGTCTGAGGTGAGGCCGGATGCAGGCGTCTCTGTGCTGGCTGCATCCTGGTGCGAAAAGAAACGACGGATGTTAGCCTCAGAAATGAGCATCTTCCACTATGCACCAGGTGAAAACTGAAAGCTTCGTTCCATGTTGGGTTTTTTTAAGTGAGCAGCCACGTCAGCTCGCCTCCAAAGCTCAAGCAATGATGAACTTGGGGGTGCGAGTCTGACTCAGCAACATGGACTTCATGCAACGCCACAAGGAAATGGGGCTTGCTCACCAAATTAGAATGTAACCTGAATACACAATGACTGCATAGGCGGGCTTTCGTTTGCTGTTACCTCTGCTTTTGATATTGATCAACTGGCGTGGGAATTCCACATTGTGCGGCCACACGCAACAGGCACATCAGAATTGATCTGGGCGTTTTTGGGGGGTACCCTTTGCAGTCGGTAATGACGAAAAGGAACCACCGTCACTGGGGCTTCAAAGCCCGGCGATCACAAACCTGCCCCTGCCAAGAAATGACCAGATCTGTTTTTGCTCAGCATGGAGAACTTGGAACCGGTTCGGACGGGACTGGTGTTCTTGAAAAGACTGGTTCTTTGTCCCGGAATGGTCCGTTCAGATTCCCCATTCTTTGAAAGAACTCTCCAAACACACCACGGACCCCACGATGCGAGCCTTGGCCTCAGTGCGGCCGCTGTCCAAACACCTAACGTCGTGTTGGGCGGACAGTCATCCGCGAGCGATTTCCAAGGTGGGCGAAAAAGCCTCGACCGAATTCGCACTGAAAAAAGTTAGAGTCTCAGACCTTTTGTCCTGCATTTCCTCTCGCAAGGCTGACACAGCCGCGACACTGGGCAGGTTTGCCACAAAGTGCGCAGTTGTAGCAATGGTACATAACGCTTGGCTGCGCCCATGTTCCACACTTCACGCTGTGCAGTTGAGCCCATTCGGTTGCAAAAACCGACCCTGGTCTTCCATTCCCATTTTGCCCCACCCAAAGGACATTACCAAAGTGATCGGTCATGGGTGATCCTGACACAATCACGTCGGCTGTGCGCGCCAATCATTGAGGGTGTTCTCTATAGATCCCGGAATGCACTTCCCAGTTGCCCATAAACCATCCTAAGGGTGAAGTACATTAAAGTATCCTGCAAAACAAGCCTTCTACTTTCAGCCGTCTACTTTCGCCCAACTCTTCTCAAAATAGGGGAACCCATCCAAAAAACATCCTGTGGCTTTCCTTTCACCCTCCCTCTAAACCCCACAAAAAGACCAAAAGGGCGGGGGGGGCGTTGGGTTCGAACCCCCGGCCGGTTGGCCTGGGCAGCTTGCCACTGGTCATGGCCGCAGCCGCATCCTGCAGCGCCTCCTTGAGCCTGCCTGATTGGCGACGCGCTCGCTTTGGCTTTCAGTTCTCGTGTGGACATGGGTCAAAACTCAAAACCCTGTACCCCCAGCGAACATCCCAGTCCCCACTAAAATGGGTTCTAAAATGGGTGGTGAATTCCCATATGGTACCATTGGTTTTGTCAACCACGGCCAATCGGGTATCTCCATGCAAGCGCTGTGGGAAGATTACTCCACGGAAGATCGTGGTCCAAGGTAGGCACTGGAATCCTCCATTTGCTTAGGCCCTCTGGAAGAAATAAACAAATATGTCCAATAGACCTCCTTTGAAAAACCAACCGGGGAACATGAAAGTGAGGATACCAAGGCCCTTTTTTGGAACCAAAACCGAAATCGCCATTTGGAGTGGTGTAACTCTCAAAAAAATCCGGGGAAACCAAACAGCCCCCAAAAAGCGCCGGACAGCCGAAACAGCCGGAGGGTCTTAACTCCGACTTCTGAGGTCTGGCCCCTTCGTGTGGGGCCCAGAGGCAGCAGCAAGACCCCAGTTGCCCCCAGCTCTTGGGCTTTGAGGATTCGTAGAAAATGGGTGTGTCGTTTAGGAACCCTCCAAGCATGGCCTGTGGCCGACTCAACTTGATCGTGAACGATCATGTCGCATGAGCGTGGGTCCGAATGGAAGTGAGCCATGTGGAAGCGCCAAGGAAGTCTAACTGAACAGCCTGAGCCAATGCCGTGCGATGTTGCGAGACGCAAATTCGAATGGTCAGCTGTCACGAATTCAAACAATTGTAACCAGTGCACGGGCCCGAAGCTGGCACTTCTTTGGACTTTGAAGGCCACCAGGCTCGACGGCACCGACGCCACCTCGGCATCCCCGCCTTCTTGCCATGTGCCCAGCACGCAGTTCAGATTCCTATCCAAGATGAAAGGGTCCTCGATGTGCAGGCGGTTGGTCTGGTTCCAGGTCTCCAGCCAGGCAAAGCACTGATGCTCCATGGTCAGCCTGCATCCCATGCGCACGGACACCACCTCGGAACCCCACTGGAACTGCCGGGAGTCGGAGTAGAAGAAGAAGAACCTCGCTAAGCCAAGCTTCATTGCAAACAGTAGCATGCCCCAAGGGTGAGTGGGTTTGCATGCGCGTGTGCGTGTGAGTGGAGCGGGGGGTGGGGTTGGGTTTGGTCGGGTCGGGGTGGGGTTAGGTTAGGTTAGGTTGGGTGGGTGAGAGAGTGGGTGTTGTTGTCTCTTGTCAGAGTGTCCTTGGGTTTTCAAGGAAACCACAGGGACAGGACCGTTTGAAAGGTCCCCCGCAAAGGAAGACCAACTCCGCGCGTTCGAATCCCAAATTCCGGCTGGCGGCTGCATCAGCAGGGTGGGTAGTGGCAGCCCGCACTCCCAGCGCCAGCCACTAAGGTCAATGGCCTGAGAGCTCAGAGCCAAACCTCGACGTGGGTGGTTGCCCTTCAGTTCGCCACCGAAAATCACAATCCCATGAGCCCCATTCCCACCACAACTTCTTCAATTCACGTCAAGGCTTGCTTGAAGGAGAAGAACCCTCTTGTGGCAGTCACCCCCTCGATGGTCAGCGAATCAACAAGGCTTCCGCAAAGGCTTCAAAGCCGGAAAAAGACGGGCAGCTCACGTTTCAACCGATCTTTCTCGCCGGCGTCCCGCCGCCAAGTTTGGGGCCCTGGCCGGGCCGTCCTCGCTGAAGACATCGGTTGGCAGGCAAGGCAGCCCATGGCAGGTCTGCATGAAGTAGATGGCCATGAGCGTGAAGGAGTAGGACGACAAATTCCCTTGCGGTGCTCCGGACACATCCGCCTCGGCTGGGGAAAAGAGAACTTCAAGGCCCCTTTTTTCCAACCTAAAAGCATCACTGCCGAGGGCAACTCACCTGAAATGGCCACAAAAGGCGAGGTTTAAGGCCACAAAAAATGGACATATCGGGATCCTTGTTGACCCACCCGTGTCCAAAGGTTGTTTTTTTCAAGATTGGGGCTCGCCTCCAGGTGCTTTGCGATCCACAAAGCAGTTCAACTAGAG